GGCCAGGCTCCTGTCTCAGCAGCCAGTAACTTGGCTTTAGCCCGTACAGGTGATCTGTGTGTGGAGTTCACTCGGCTGTTTGTCCCTGGTGTTCCTTACATTTGAATCCCTGGACAGATTCCCCATTTGCCCGTGGTTCCCGCCACAGACATCCAGCTTCTCCTTATGCAGGGAAAGCTCTGCCGGAGCGGAGCGCAGCCCCCGCGGTGCCGCCGCCTCACTGTGCGGCCGCGGGGCGGGGCTCACGGCGTCCACGGGGGCAGTTCTGGAGCGGTTGGCGGGACGGCCAGGGTGGTGGTCAGGCAGGGACCCCCGTCCCTCCCTGCTGCTGGGACGGGCTTGTTCTGTTTCCCACCGTGGACCTGGCCTCCCGGCGGCACAGGGCCCGCTCGTCGCCATCACTTCTCACTGGCGTTGTTCACTGCGCCGGTCACTCCCCGATTGGCTGGGCTTTACCAGGAAAGTCACTTTCTCCTCCGCCTCCCACAGCCATGGGGACACCGCGAGCTGTTTCCTGCTGCTGTGCTCTCCTCTGAAAGCGGGGAGCAGCCGGAGGCTCCCGCCCGAGTGGGCGGGTGTCCGGGCGTGTGGGCAGCGCGTGCTGCCTGGCCCGCTGGTTAGACTGAGAGGCCCTGGAGGAAGTGCGGCCGATGCGAGGGTCCCGCCAGTCGTGCAGCCCTGGCTCGCAGCAGCCTCCGAGCAGCGTGAAGGCCTCTCCGTCTGTGGCCGTGATTTCGTCCCGTGCCCGTTGCCCCGTAGCACACAGTCACTTCCTGCGGTCCTGGACTCCACTCAGGAGGGTCCTGGGGACAGGACATGCGCGTTTGCAAGAGAGAGCTGTCTTCCGTGCACTTGCCCTGCAGACTGAGCAGGTGGGGAAGCCCCGGGTCTGGCTGCTGAGATCCAGGGCTCGCTGAGGAGCCAGCGGTGGGCCCGGGGCTGGGCGTGTCAGAAAGGGCAGGGCGAGCGCTGGAACGCGGAGGGGCTCTGTGTCGCTTGGAGAAGGCTCTCACGGGCGCATGTGCAGCTTCTGGATGCGTAGCCGTTGTTTCCTGGCAGCAAGACACCATGAGGGGAGCAGGGCCTACAAGGGACCTTTAGGTTGGAGGTTTGGGGTGGGCTTCCGGCTTGAAAACGGAGCGGAGAGTGGAGAAATGCCGGGGCAGCGGTGAAAGCGGGTCCTGCCATCTGCAGGGTCGTAGGTGTCCTGTCCCAGCAGGAGCCTGGCAGCCTCCAGCCGCTACCCTCGCCGAGCACGCGCTCGCTGCCCTGGCCAGCTTCTGTTTGTCCTTGTGGCGGGCTCCGTGCCTGCGTGTATCCTGCAAGGAGGCAGCTGGAAAGTGGCGGAGCCGGGCTCTGAGCCGGGCATCTGGCTGCAGGGGCCATGCTGTGCGGCCATCTCCCGGGCCCGCCCCAGGAGCTCTGCTGTGCCCGTGTGTACGGGGCAACCAGCAGGTCCACCTCTCTCCTTGTAGGACACCAGAACAAGCCATTTGCATAGTTTCCTGCTCTTTGTTCTTTTATTTAAAAAG